CCAAGGAAGCCACTTTGCTTGTGCAGCAACAGCCCACTCGCTCAGGCAAATTTATACTCCCTTCTCCAGTGCAGATGGTGCCTTATAGCGTTTGCACATTTGGCTCTTGAAGGCAGGAGCTTGGAGGAGGAAGAAGAGACAATAAGGGATAAAATAGGGATGGAAGGATGAAGGAAGCAAAGCAGGCTGTTGCACCCCTGGAGGGAAGAGCAGAAGAGCAGATCTGCTTTGTTGGTAGACCGTCATTGAGACCTCATTCTCTCACCCCTCCTCCCTCCTGTCTTTACTCTCTTACCACCCTCCTTTTTTTCCCCTCCTCCTTTCTCTCACCCACTCCCTCGTTGTTCCTGTGTTTCCTCAAGACATTTACACGTTTTTGCCATCCACATGTCTGGCTGCGGTGTCGGTGTAAGGTGAAATTGAAAGGAAGAGAAGCGGTTGATTTCAAATGGACATTACTTCAGGGAGGGGCTGCAGTGAGGGGTCTACGGAGCTACATGAGACCAGTGAACAACCACAGAGAAGATGGGAGGGATTCTATAAACTATGAAAATATGACCTAAATAAAAAGTACACCTCCTCATCCCTGTTCTCTCTGCCCCAGTTCAAGTATTTGTTCTTACGTGCATGTTTAAGGGCTGCACAGGCTGCATAGCCGTGTGTGTGTGTGTGTGTACAGTGTCTCTAAAGGAGACAGTATAGGGGCCCATACAAGTCTGCTGACCGGCGATAGCACTCTGTTGTTGTCTCTACCCACTGATCAGCTCTGCCTCACCCACAGGGAGGTGGGTGCGCACACACACAAATGTACCTCTGCTTGCCTCTCACTAATCACCCCCCACACTAAAGCCTCCATCATTGGTTCAGAATGTGCAAACAACATAACAAAACAATAATAACTTATTAGTGGGCAAACCACAATGATTTTTGATTCTCCCACATTTTTGGATGAAACCCATTCAATGCAAGGAAGGACTGAAAGATGTTGTTTTGTCTTTTGAGATGGTCATTGTGTCATTTAAGGGGATCATAGAGTTATAGACTGTTATTGTGCATTGATCGAGAAGCAGAGCAGACTACACATTGGACCCTGACCGGTTATAGCTTGCCGTCCTTCATGACTTGGCGATCGGCAAGGAAGTGAAATGGACCAAATTTACTGACACACTTTAACCACCACCAATAACATCATTCCTCTTTCACTTTGCCTCATAAGACTGTTCTAGAGTCATCTCAGACAGGTTGAACTCATTTCAAACAAAGATAAATAATGAAAGTGGTGAAACACCAAAAATAGGTATTCTCTGATAATTTGACCAGAAAAGTCTTAACTCATGGTCCACCTTCTAGCTCGGTGGTTTTTAACCTCATCTCATGGTCTTTAAAAGCAAATCGAGTTGAAGAAAAGAGATGAAGGCCGTGGTTTACAGCCAGTAAGTGGACGTTGAGTTATGTTGATGGAGGAGAATTTGAAAGACACTGTGTGCGCTTACTGCCTCAGGAGCCTCAAACATACCTTTTCAATCTTATATGAACCTGGATTGCGTAACATGAAAGTCCTGCAGAGTGATATCACAGAGTAAGATGTGGCCACCCTCTCCTCATCTGACCATCGTACCAGTTATCTCATGTGAAGTATCTTTAGGCTCAAAGAGGAGGTAAATAGGATGAATATTACTATTGCAGTCCAGTGTGAGCAGGAAGACAAAGCGATGAATTGTGGAGGAATTGAGGACACAGAGAAATGTCATTCTTATTGGATCGACAACTTATCTTCTCATTGACTATTGCCGAAAGGTCAGGCGGGGACTTGACTGACCTATACAAAGTTCATATTTCAAAGTTTTAGACAAGTTCATTTGTTTCTCCCAGTACAAAGACTGTTACTTCGTAATTGTTAATGGGGTGATCACAGAAAGGCTAGACAATGTTCTGATAATATAACACTAAACAGTTGATCGCCACATGAAGACATATATGATTGATATTACAATATTGTTGATCATCTCAAAATGGCAGTGGGATTACCTGGAATTTCTCATGGGGGATCTGAACCCCGGATCTCATGTTTCCTCTTTGTTGCAGTGCACTCAAGGCGGGTCAGGTCACTCAGACGCAAGCTCCTTCCACCACACTGAATAATTCAGGAGAGGCCATGATGCAATGTGTGTGTGTGTTTGAGTAAATCATGTCGTGTGTGTGTGGAGTGTGTATGTTGAGGAATGGTTTCAGTGGAGTGCGAGTGTGTGAAGATGGGCGCTAACGGAGTGGTTTCCTCTGTGCTCTTGGAGAAGCCCTGTGGCCCACTTAGGATCAGCTTACAGATGTCGGACTGAGAGGGGATTTTGAAAACTGACTTCTTCACTTGGGTGTAGCAGCCAGTGAGCCTTCCTCCACCTGTTGACTCGGTTAGAGACTCTACATTAGGCACATTTAAGATCAACACTTGTTTGTCTGCAGCATTCAAAGCACAACATCACATGCGAACACACCTGCCACTGTCGATCCTTTATCATAGTAATGCCACCACTCTGATCTGTGGGTGGATGATTTGCATAGTGCCAGAGCTGTTGTCGTAGTACGCATGCTGATATACATACAGAATATGTATGAATATGACTCACCACACACTTGAGCGTGAGAATCTCGGTCAGTAATGTATCCTGAGAAACCCATGATGTGGGGTGGGGGTAATGTGTCAGCTTGTTTAAAATGTCCTTAAATAACGGAGTTTAGTGTTCACGCCGTCCTCCAGCTGCCGGCCTAGCTTACAAGCCGTGACGGTTATGGCCGAGGTGTTGTCTATAGTTCAGTGTCTCGTCTTGGGTTGCAGTGACGTCAGTCCTCTAATCAGCGGTGACATAAGGGTCTGGAGTTACACTGCAAAGGTACAAAGTGTGCACCCATACATCTCAGTGTCATGCATAATGGCTGAAGGGTGAGGTCAGGATGATGCACTTTAACTCCCACTTCGGTCTAGTCACTCACCAAAGACTCCGGAGGGCTCCACCTGTACTGTACTTTGACTTTTGTGTAGTTCCACTAATCTGACATGGTCTTCCGAGGAAACTGTCATGATGTATTTTTAAGGGAAAGGATGTGCTCATCAAAAGGGTAAAAAAAGATCAGTTCTACTGAGCATTTGTACCTCTTTTTGCTCAATATCTTTTGTTTTATAGCACACATATGTACTGTACTGTACTGTACTGTACGAGGACTCGTTGAGGCTACTTCAGCCCAAACATTTGAGGTGGGTTAACAGCTAGCCTAGCCCTGTCAAAAGCAATACAATATGCCTTTCAACAACTTCAAAGCTGTGTTGTATCGTCTGTATGTTGCACTTGTAGAAACAGAAAAGGGGTCCGTGGGCTCCAGCGAGCAGTAGGCTTATTCTGTGAGCTATTTCTTGACGGACAACACCTGTTCATATTATGGGGTTGAGTAGCAGTAATCCGCTCCATTTTTTATTGTGATTGTCATGGCTTCAATTCTGAATTCTGTCAACTCTCTGCCGTGTTTTTGTCAGGCACTTCTTAATGTAGATCACTCTACGCTTTACCCTCCCATTGCTGTGCATTGTATTACTCATTTCATCCCATATTCAACGACCCCTCCACCCTTCCTCTAGTTTTTCCTCCGTGTCACAGTGGAGAGTGAATAATTCATGTTCGGGCTGCTTGCTGGTGGAGATGAATCATGTGAGAAGAGCAGGATACACGTGCTCGTCTTCTCTCCAAGGACCCCAGGACAGCATGGGGGGGGGCACTGTGCTCCTCCACAGCTTTATAGACCACAACTACCCCGTCCTACAGGACATTACCGTCCCAGCTTCCATGAAAGTCACACGTGAGCTTCACGCTAGTTCCTCTGCCTTCAAAGCTCAAAGCAGCAGCGTCTCACTATACATACTTTATCTACAGTCTATGGCATTAGGGCCTCATGAATTAGCTCATAAACAATGTCTCTAGACAACATGTTTATATTTAGTTCACTGATCCCTTGGAACAATAAATGTCCATGTAGTGGTGATTCCTTATATAATATTTCAAATTACCAACAGAGACGCCCTAAAAAAAGTCTCAAGTCCCAAGTCAAGACCACCTAGTCCCATGTGAAGTCTACTTTACTGCTGGCCTCCAACGTTAGGGAGCTAACATTAGAAACAGCTGATTGTTGATTTTAAAAGACAACCTTTTAGGCGACCAAATCTTGAATACAACAATTGTATTGCCATGCTAACAGTGTTGAGGGCTCATTTATTTCACATTTTCAAATGGTGCCACTCAATGCTAGCGAATAGAAGCTTAATCCATAACTGGTCAGAGAACATTGTTAGCCTTCACTCACCTCTCCTTAAATGTTGAAAGTCATTGCATCTCTCCGGCCACATGTTTTGAATGTTGTAGAATATGTGACCATATGTTGACCCAGTCTACATGTTTGATGAATGAAACACAAAAAGTTTGTTGCTCACAGCTCTGCAGACTCTGTTCCCTCTCTCCCACTCACACCTTTTGTCTCTGGAGAAAGTCCCTGCCTGAACCAAACTAAATGTGTCTCTGCATGCATGTGTTTGTGTCAATTCCCACATTGTGTATGTGTGTGTGTGTGTGTGTGTGTGTGTGTGTACTCGTTGCCTGAGCTCTGCAGTTCTCTCTGCAGTTCTCTCAAGCTAACCGTGTCCTGATGCACACGTGTATCTCACACGAAGGATCAACTCACTGGTGTGTTGATGGACCCAGAACAAGAATTATTCATATAGAGGGACCCTCACAGTTTTCCTACTGTCACGCCGTGTTATCAGATCGCATGGCTAAACAGCCAGCACTGCGGACTGAAAATCTCCATGCTTAACATTTGCTCTGGCTTACAGCGACGCAGTGCCATATGCCTGATTGGAGGGATACCAATTTCAGATAAAATACCTCAAATGAGTGTGTGGGTCTTGTTAGTAGGGCTTCTAATACTCTTCCTCTCCTCTTTCTTCATTGTTCTTCCAGGTTAGACGCTGCTTGAAGCCTGGAGGACGATTTGTCTCTATAACCTTCGCCTCACCCCTCTTCAGGAAACGCCTCTATGCTCGCACAGAGTACAACTGGTCGATTAAGAAGTATGGTTATGGAGAAGGCTTTGAATATTTTATGTACGTCATGACCAAAGGAGAGGCGCTAAGCCCAGAAGATGCAGCTCTAGAGAAAAAGCTACTGGAGGACACCAAATCCCCGCCTACCACGATTGTCACAATGCAAACTAAAGACGAGGAAGACTTCCTGTTTAATATTGACTTCTAGGAATAGATTAACTCTGAGATTCATAAGTAAGCTCTATACTGTGACAATGACCAAAGAAACTCAAACTTCTCCACGGTCACAAATGCAACAGAAACGGCCTTCGTGACCACAAATACCTTACAGTTATGTAATTTTATAAGAATGAACTGTTGTGTATTTTTAGTTGCGGTTTATGTCGGGCACAGATGTTCACATCTGTGAGGATGGATTGTTTTATACAGGATTTAGACTATGCACCACCAGCCACACTCGATACAAGTAAAATACAAATAACTTTCTGTCACGATAGCGAATAGTGACCAAATATACATTCAAATCTTTGTGGTGAATTCACCATCATTTGCAGTTGTTACATTTCCAAAGAAGAGTTGGAAACAGTAGCACAATAATCATGTTTGAAACTAATCAAAAGAAACCGTGTGGTACTTATTTAGACTATTTACAACATTTACACAAGTGTATTGGTCATTCATTCAGTTTGTGATTACTGTGGACTATGACTCATCGTGTTTCTGTCTGTGTCATAATTTTCAGAAGCTGCTACCATCAGCTTCTGTTGTGGTGCAGGTCATAATAGAAACTTTTATCTTTGAAAAAACAATTTTACATCCCAGTGTTCTTAATTGTTCTGTCTGTCCATACATCAGTCTCTATGGTGCCGCACAAGTCTGCCCATGTGGCAAAAATTTGCAAGACAAACTGGCACGTCGAGACACGGTACATAACAGCGGCGCTGTCCTGCATGTTCAGTCAGTGTTAAAGTCTATTTATGTGTCAGTCGATTTCTCCCCTTCTGGGTTGTCTGCACCTGGACCATGTCTGCTTTAGACTCCAAACAAAAGCTGCTCAGGGAGACATGCAGAGTTTGAAACCAGCCAGCACATACAAGTAACAGCCCACCCTGCGTGTTATCTGTTGAGGAAACATGAGATGAGTCTCGGGTCCTGTGCTCTCTGCTGCTTAAATTTAGACCTGAAAGAGAGAGCCAGGCATGCAGACAGGCAGGAAGGCTGGTGACTGGAAGGGGGGGGGACCACATTGATAAAGTAGAAATCATTTATTTTTAATTCTCCACTGAGATCTAATTACTGCCTATTTTTAAGACTTGGGGGGGGGCGGGGAAAGGTGCATGATTTTTCAGATGGCTCTTCTTTCATTCCATGACTTTCTGATGGTGTAACTGTAGTTTGTTTAACTTCATCTCTGCTGTTGAAAAGGTAAGGTAAGGTGTTCTGGAGCTTTTGATCATATCCCATGATCTTCCTCAGCAGACAGAGTTTAATCAGTTGCCATTTAAGTAACTGTTGGCTAAAGCCCCCCCCTTAGTTACTTTTGCTACGCTCGTAAGGTGTGTGTTCTCACATGGCACATATGAAGTTGTATGGTGAGATTGTTTTATGAAGTACTGTTTTCAAAGTCAAGAATGAATTTTAATCTCAACCTGTTGTGCTCTGCAATAACATGAATATTAATGTTTTTCAAATGTTTTCATCTTTTGTGTCTTTTATACTATAAGAAGATTTCAAACTAAGTAAACAATGATGTGACATTACTGCATTCTCATTTCCTTTGACTGTTGCTGTAGCTTAGCTGACTATTGCAATCGTATATATTCTCTTGTTATCCACACTCGCAAATACACGCTGCACACACACTGTTTCACATATTGTAATGTATCTCTGTCAGACAGTGGTGGTCTCAATGTCCCCCGCTTTGTATCGACCCTTGCATGGTTTATTATCTGTTTTCCATGGTGACATTTGGGTCCACTGCCCTGACTACCTGAACAGGAGAGTTCCTGTAAGTGCCAGCAGGTTTTATACGTAATGACAATAGAGACGTAGGGGTGCAGCTCAGCTCCACTGCAGCACTGGGACATAAAACACATAATGATGGATTCAACTCTCCGTGTGGTTGGATGGAGGTTGGCTATGGATTTTCCCTTAAAGTACAAGTTCTCCACACTTTTTCCTCCGTTGGACTTAGTTTAGTCTCACTTCAATTTTAGTTCTTCCAATATATGAATATAGTGGTATAATCCTGTATGTAGAAAATAGTTTTTTGTTGCAAATTTGTTTTTTGGCTCCCGAAGTCAGACTGACTGATCTGCGATGGCAGAGACCGCGACAGTGAGATTTAACTTGACTGGACTTAAGTTATATAACCACAGAGCATGGGGCAGGCCTCACGCAGGAGAGGCTTAGTCATCATTTTCTGTTTAGCACAAAGATTTTCGTCTTATTTGCAGATTCTTTTGTTTCTGTAGCTGATCGCCTGAGTCATCCAGGTGTCTTAGGCTATGATTTAATATAGAGCACTGTGTATTCATGTGTGCCAGAGATAGTAGAGCCAGAATCTTCTCTCCTGCTGCTGATTGTCCTCCATGCTCTGTTGCCCAAGGGCAACAACAACACTAATCTACTGCATGCTCAATGCCTTTCTCTCTCTGTCTTTCTGTCTCTCTCTTACTCTCAGTCACTTATCTCACCACCACCACCACCCTGCCCTCTCAGTCTGCATCGATTGGCCCTGAGTGCTTTGGTGTGTGGGTGTTATGTGAGGTCTCATGCAACTCGAAAGGCCTACTGCATGCTTTAACCAAACATCTGTGGGTTTTATCTGCCTCATGGTATGTGATGGTGTTAAACTGTATCACGACACAGCACTACTGCCTTTTTTTTTTTTTTTTACCCCATTCACGTCCGTGCTTACTGCAGCTACACTCAAAGCATCCTCTGTGATTCTTGAAGGGGAATTCTTGTTTCCTACAACCATGGTCCTAATTTTGTGGTTCAGTTCTATTGTACTAACAAAGTTATTTATTGATATCTGGGAATGCGGCAATATTAAGAAAACATGTCTAATGGGGCAAGTAATACGGGCGTACAGACTGTCGTACAGGTTTAAAACAAACCCAAAATTTGTCAAACTTATTCTCTTAGTGCATGTGAGTGTGCCCCAATGACGAGCTCAAGGCCACAGCTCTTCACTGCGCTCATACAGCAGTTACAGACAATAACAGCGTCTCGAAGCGTAGCACCCACCCTCCTGTTCCCCCTCAGGTAAACACTGTTGCCTCTGTCAGCTTTTTTTTCTATTGTTCTCATTGTTAGTGCTGTTAGCTCCGTTAGCTGCAAGACCGGCACCATGCCGGCACCCTTCAGAGGCAATACAAATGCTCCCAATCTTAGCACCTTTTAGGGATCTTTTCCATCAAGTTTAAAGCAGTTTAAATCCATGAAAATAAGACCACGCTATAACTTACTGCCTATGAAGCAAGTTGCTACAGACCAGCATAGATAAGATGGAGGGAATCACCAGCTATCCTTGTCAGTGGAAACCAGTCTGCATTGTGGACTGTATATCTGCCCATCTCTCTTGGGGCAGCATAATAGCATAATATATTGTATGGCAGGCTTATGTAACTGGAGGAGGAATATTAATGGGTGTCTGCTCAGGATGGGGCGAAAGTGGAATCAGATCAAAGCTCTTTGTTCTCACTGCACACACTCAGTTTGACCCTAGAGCTGAGAGTTGCTTTGAGCTGTGTGTGTTCATGTATGTCAGAGATAACAGTGCGATGGCACTTAACATTTACAGCTGTCTGCCATAGCTTTTTCTGCATTTTGCACATAAACCTCCATACGTCTGTCATGCTTGTATTTCTATCCAGTCTTTCTATGTGGCTACACAGTGACTGTCCACTGGGGAGGCATCTACAGCATATCTGTGTTGACCCCAGTATGGCCTGCACTCCCAGCCCCGTCTGCCAGGTCAGGACACAGGAGCCTCAAAGACCTCGGGTTACATCTATAGCTCCAGCTCACAGTCAACTGACCTCTGACCCTGAGAGTTGCAAAATAATGACTTAATTTACGTGTCAACAGAGGGCAGTAGCTCATTAGTTGTTGCCTGGGATGTTCAAGTCAGACATCCTACAAATGAATTTAAAGGATAATTCTGGAGCGTTTTATCTTTGAATTATTGTCAACAAATTGGTCTAAATAAAAGGTCTGTAACCAAAGCTGAATAGGTTTCCTAGCTCTAATTACAGTAAACTAGCATAGCAGTGTGAACGCAAAACTGCATTCTTGAGCATTCTTGGGACAGCGATGGAGCTTGATGGCACACAATACTTGTTTGTAAGATTAATTAATTGCTGGTTTTGATCTCTTTAGGGCATTGTTATGCCTCTCAAAGTCATGGCCAGATACATTTTCATGTTGTCCGTCCGTTCCATTCTCGTGAACACAATATTTCAGGAATGCTTGGAGGGAATTTCTTTGAAATTTGGCACAAACTTGAATGATTTGTTTAGATTTTGGTGGTCAATGGTCAAGGTGTCTGTGACCTCACAAAACATGTTTTTGGCCATAACTCATAATAATAAGAATGCATATGCTAATTATGACAGTTTCACACAAATGACTAATAGGATAAAATTATGAAGTGATGAAATTTTGCAACTTGACTGGTTAGTGGAGGCATACAACCGTGGGATGGTTCTAGTTCTAATTCTAGTTGTATACTTAGAAGATAAAACAACACCAGTGTTAGCCTTTAAGCCTATTGTCTGGACATATTTTACATTAAGAATAACGCATACCACTGAAGGGGGAGCAATGCTGCAGCATATTGATAGAAGGACTTAATTGACTTTTATAGTCACATGTTCACAGTCACACTCATGATAGGAGAGAGGCATGGAGCAGAGCTGATACAATTCAATATCTGCCCAAATGTGTCAGTCCGGTTCCGGCCTTCCAGGGCCGCCCATTACTGTGAAAAGTGTAATTGTCCATGACCGTAGACAGACACACACTCACACTCGCACAAACACGACATCCACAACAACAACCTGATCGATAGCACTATGTGTTCATTCAGTGCAGTGCTCATGTCATCAGGACAGTCAATAATCTCTCTGATGGGAATTTGGTTTGCTACATTGATGACGCTTTGTTGATGTTCTGTTATTAGAGTGAAGTGCAATTCAGTGTCCTGAAGGATTAGTATGAAAGCATTGTTGACAGAACATGTAGCTTTTTATAGATCTGTCCTGATACTGTACATTTTGCTTCAGAGATTGAAAATCTGTCATATCTGCAGCATGATTTTCAGGAAAATTAAATTGTGAGATTACCAGGAAAATAATTTCTATTGACTTATCGATGCTGTGCAGGTTTGTGTACCGCAGGTGGAAAAGGGGGAATATCAAGTGACACAATTTCCTGGCTGACACTGTTGGCAAACAGTGTAGTATTCGAGAGTACACCTTTTCTTCCACCTGAGATCTGTTGGTGTAATGAACTAGTGAGATTTGACAAAACATTTGACAAAACAATAACATAAAAAGATACATCCACATGTGTGTTTCAGAGAAAATAGGATAACAAATGACTGTGATGCTGATCTTTATATATTGTCACAGAGACCAATAAGTACAGTATGTGCTGCATAGTTAGTGGGTTTTCCACCGACCTGAATCAGTTTATACCTTCATACCATTTTTTTTTGCAATTGAGAGTATGTGGAAACTAAGAAACCAAAAAGCAACCAAAAAGCAATAAATATTTGAAATTTCCAGTTTCTGCCATTGTGTGTGGGTTGGTTGACATATAGATGTTAACACTGTAATAAACCACAGAGCGTGTGCATGATTGTTTGTTCTTGGTGTACCAACCAAAGCCAGTGTTTACAGCCCTGTTATAGCCTTTGTGTGAGAGCTACCGGATGAGGACACTGCACATGTCGACTTTAAAAGATGATCATGTGGCCAGTTGTGGACCCCCAGGGGTCTGTGGTTTAATGAATTCACTAGTGTAGGCCGGCACAGAGCTGTTTAACAGCTTAACAGATGGATCACTGTTCCTTCCCTGATCTTTAATTAAGGATCAGTATTTAATGCTACTGAAGTCATGGCTACTGACCCCAAAGGCTACAAAAAGATGAGATGATGCTTTTTGAAGCTGAAACTACATGTATGTTGTTTATTAACAAGAGTTTATTTATCTTTATTTTTAAAATTTGTCAGTGTGCTGTGCTGACGGGATATGTTTTGCGTTGTTTTCTCCCCTTGACTTTTATTCACAGAACAAGCCCA